GGGGCGGCGCGAAACGCTTTCCAGGCGTCTTCTGCGGCCGAAAGCAGCTGGTACCGGCCCGCCTCCACCCCACCCTCACACCTCTTGCCAAGATCTCTCGACACGTTTGGAGGAGGTGTATTAGACCATGAGCAAAATAAGAAATCGCCTTCAGAACACTTTATTCAGAGGCAAAACAGTATGGTGATGCAGACAGATTTAGAAACAAACAGAACAAAACAAAACTGCTCAACAGTTCAACTTCTCAACTGTTGGCTCTCCTTCTGGAACCAGTCAGTCCCCAGTGAGCATGGAGATGTCCCTAAGTCCAGGGGCCATCACTGTCCTTTCTTTTACAGAAAGCAGCCCCTGTTCTTGCGCTTTCCATGTTCTTCAGTGAAAAAATAATAATCTAAAATAAAGTTACTGTACAGATGAACAGGCATTGTAATCTGAAAGAGAGAACTCCGATGAATATTACAGCTCCACACACGTACTAGAGAACACAATAAGGCACATATTTATATCTAAATACTAAAATTCATTGCTATCATCTTTAATCTTAATAGGCACCTGTGGGAAGAAACTGTTTATGCAGGAGGAAAGCTGCATTATTAGATTGTGTCACAGCTGGTAATTTTTTTATTATCATTTTTGCTAGGTATATTTGGCTGGATTTATTTCTTTTTTAAACCTAATCTAGCTTCTCGTCAGTAAATGCTTCCATCTCCACGTACACACTCGTGGCTGAGGTACTCGCACAGGCCTGGCCTCGAGGTGTCTATCAGCCTTTTCCTGGGCCTGCTCCATGTCTCATCTCCCCAGCAGAGCTCAAACATCAGCTGCTGCTGGCAGTGCTCCGAGCTACTGGGAAGCAGAACCTCCAACCATCCCACACAAGCAGTGTGGTCTGTACGCATGGCTCCGGCTCCCAGTCAGCTCTGTGCAGGGAGTACACGGACGTCCCCGTACGCAGAGCTGCTGCTCTGAAACGCGCTGTCACAACCAATAGGGGAAAAAAATCTAATCTACTTCTAACCTTAAAAGTAAAGGGAAATAGGAGTATAATAGGTTTATTGCTTAAGTTTTACTTGTGTAGTACAAATTCTAACAACCACTTCTGGGCTTTTGTAAGGGACTGAGGGGAAAAAAAGAAAAAAATCTTTGAAATGGCCTATGGGACAGAGTAGATTATTTAAACGCGGCTTCTTCGCCAAGAGTAAACCTCAAAGAAAAGCACGATGACGTGTCTTTGCTCCTCGGAGTCTTTTATGTTTTTATGGCTACACTTAAAACTTACAACTGGAAGGAAAAAGGTTGTAAATTGTATTTGTATACAGGAGCCATTTGGCAAAACTGGTGTGTTAAACCCTTTTCCACTCAACCATAGTAATGGGGGAAAGTTTCAAGATGTCCATGATTACAGACACCAGTTTAGATTGGATTCTTACCTTATTTACTGATGCTTTGTTATTGCTGTTGTTCCATTGTGAGCAGGGATAATAGGTGCAGGAAAATCCAGTTCAGGGGCATCAAAAAAGTACGCCTACATTATTACAGAGGAGAAAACGACTATTTAGAGAGAAACAAACAGTTCTGCCTCATCCCGGCTCGCTCTTTCCACACTCACTGTTCACAAGATACAAACACTGAAGAGGCAAATTCGGAACTTCTCTGTTTTTATCGGATTAGAAGCAGTCAATTAAAATGGTGCTATCAACTACTTTTAAATATAACAGCAGCTAAGGTCTTTGAAAAAGCCCTGCACTGGAAGGGAATGGGTTGCAGATATTTCTCTGCTTGCTGGTTTAACGGATGAAGCTGCAGGCAGCCTCCTGTGACAGGAACCCCACTGCAGTCGGCTGCAGGTCTCCTGCCAACACCAGGCCTGTGTTTTGCCTTCGGCCCCCTGCACGCTGAGCTGAAGGGAACCAAATCCATCTCCTCTGGAAGCTGGGGAGGGACAGAATTGAAGCTTGGATGACACCGTCCTACCTCCTGCACAAAATAATTTAAGTTCTCATGGCTGTATTTCAGTAGCATTGGGGTCTTCTGTTACTAAGTTCTAGCAGGTTTATAGCACACACTGTATATCAGACATTTAATAATTTTAAGATTAACTAAGCAGAGTACTCATTGGAGTAAGCTGCGACTGGATTTGTGAAGATTAATGCTTTGCTGATACTATGTTGAATTCCAGATAAATTTAAGACTATTTGGTGAGTGCTTTGTGCTAAAGACATATTAATTATGGAGTTTGTTACTGGCGCTGTCAAACTGGCATCAATTTTTGCTACATTTGAAATAACTGGAACTTCTACTTTGGAGGTTTTTTCCCAGTACTATTTCTTTAATAAAAACAGTTTTCCAGCAACCAGCCAACTCCTCTTTCCTTGAACCAGTCCCAGAAAACAACGGGTTAGAGAAAAGGAAAGGCAGTGCCATACCAGACAGCCGACAGCCAGCAGGGCGTGCAGCAGAACAATGGCCCCCACGGTCGCCAGCGCGATCCTCCGGTTGTCATCTCGGACAGCGGGCCAAAAGGTCATCACCAAAACAGACCCCGAAAGGCACAGGGAGAACATCATCAGCCCCCAGCGCACCACTTTTTCTGGAATGATCCATAAAATCTATAAAAGGGAGTAAAAGGGTTGTTAAAGAGACCATGTGAAACAGGGATCCATTTATTTAACGCATTGTTCTGTGACATTTCATCGCTTCCAGCCAATTTGTGCACAAATTAACTCATGCCTTATCTGATCTGTCTCTGTTATTTGAGCAAAGAATAACGGCAACTGCAGACATGACAAGAGCAGATCCCTTGAGTTACGGCACTCCCTTCAATGCCTGCCCCTCGCCAGCATGGCCCAGCATGGTCCCTGCTAGCAAAACTGGTCCTCAGAGCCTGCCCATCAGCACTGCCACCCCCCACACCAATGTCTGCACCCAAGGGACACACACACCCCCCAATTCCTGAAGCTGCCTCAAATCACATCAAATAACAAATTATTTGCCCAGTCCCCAAGATTCAGACCAAGATCAACAATATTATAAGAAAAAGCAAACTTTCTGAACCAGGACCTTTTTGCAGGGGGTGTAAGTGGTGCACTCTTCAGGCCATACCTACCGCTGTGGGAATGTAAATGAAGAGCGAGTAGCCGTATACACACACTATCTCCAGGAACGAGTAGGAGACAATGTTCATAACTTTACTGTTCCTCCACACCAGGAATCCCCAGAGAGCAAGGGGAACAAGCCAAGCGTACGCATAAATCGTCGTCGCTGCTATGGACACTGGAAATACGACAAAAGGTTCCACATTTTACTTAAAATACCAGCCAGAATCAAACAGGTAGAAGCATTTAGCCAAAAAACTACCTTTGAAGTTACTTTCAAAATATAAAGTTTGAATTATTAATAAACTGAGAACTTTACATTTACATCCAGTTGACACCCACTACTTTACCAGCACTTCAAGTAAGGTTAAAAGTAAAGACTCCAGAAAGTATTCACTCGGTATTTTCAATCTCATTATTACAGCTGTGTACAAAATGCTACTGGTTTCAGTGTGAGAGGACAACTGGCTTCTCACCCCGAGTGCTCTGTGGCATGTATCCGTTGAGTATCTTTTGCTTGTTTTCGAGTTTGCCAGAGGGCAACAACTCCCAGCCCTTGGCAGGTGATGAGTAATAGAGTAATACTCTAATTCACAGAATCACAGAACGTGAGGGATTGGAAGGGACCTCAAAAGCTCATCCAGTCCAATCCCCCTGCCGGAGCAGGAACACCCAGATGAGGTTACACAGGAAGGCGTCCAGGCGGGTTTTGAATGTCTGCAGAGAAGGAGACTCCACAACCTCTCTGGGCAGCCTGAGCCAGGGCTCTGTCACCCTCACTGAGAAGAAGTTTCTTCTCCAATTGAAGTGGAACCTCCTGTGTTCCAGTTTGTGTCCGTTACCCCTTGTCCCATCGTTTGTCACCGAGAAGAGCCTGGCTCCATCCTCGTGACACTCACCCTTTAAATATTTATAACCATGAATGAGGTCTCCCCTCAGTCTCCTCTTCTGCAAACTAAAGAGCCCCAGCTCCCTCAGCTGCTCCTCAGAAGGGAGATGCTCCACTCCCTTGATCATCTTTGTAGCCCTACACTGGACTCTCTCCAGCAGTTCCTGTCCTTCTTGAACTGAGGGGCCCAGAACTGAACACAATATTCCAGATGCGGTCTCACCAGGGCAGAGTAGAGGGGGAGGAGAACCTCTCTGCCCTACAACCACCCCCCTCCTGATACACCCCAGGATGGCATTTGCTGTCTGAGGCCTGCAGGCTCCTAAGAGGCCGTGGATCCAGAAAGACCCCTACCAAAGCACCGCAGTGGCTGCTGCTGGGCTTTCCCTTTCTGCACAGGGAGGCATTCACTGCTCTCATTACTCCTGTCTGCTCTGCTAAAATTCTGTAACAACTTCATGCTCTGGAGGAAAAGGGTTCTGCCAGTTACAGCCCACTTTAAGGACTCATTTCACAAAGTAATTAATCAAAAGACTCTGCTAAATGAAAGCTGTGACCTGTTTTTACATTACTTCACTAATGCATAAAACAAAGCCAACACCTTCCCAAAAAGAACAAAAACCAAAGCAAACTCAGGACTGCATCAACTCCTTACAAACCTTTTCGGAACTCAGGCACGTAGTGGTATGTTGGTTTGCCCAGATGGATGAAGAAATTCGAGAGATTGCCACTAACGGCAATGGTAAAAACGAGTGTGGCACATATCCAAAAGGGACCTTAAAAGGAAACAAACAAGTTCAACAGCTCTGCTCTCTTGGGCCCTTTATGTTAGCAAGTAAAAAGAAATACAAACTCAAAACATTTAGCACAGAAGGGAACTCCTCACACCTCGTACCTACCATAAAGGTCGGGATTGCTGCGGATGTACAACCTTACAAAGTTCTTCCCTGGTACTGGAAAAACTGAACCTTTGATTCTGTCCAGGACCTATGAAAACAGAGATTTTGTCTGACTGAAGACGCAAAATTGAAACAACTTCAGTGTCTGGATGAGACATAATTCAGACAATCATTCTTCTCTTGAGTGGAGTATTAACCTGGTAGGTGTCCACATCAAAGAATGTCTGGTAGTACTCGAATGTCCAGAAAGGGGCACTTTTCTTCTGTCCCGCAAGCAGCTGTATGATGGGAAAGGCAACATGATAAACATTAGAAGAATGCAGTTTATGCATTACTAGCTCATTTACACAACAGTTAAACGATTTCTGTATGTGGACAGAAAACAAACAGAACAGGGTAGCGCTTACTACGAATCATTTCATCGTTTCCCCTTCCCCCTCCAGTATTTGTTAGCAGCAGCTACTTTCTTCTCTCTCTGCAAGCAGAATAGTGCCCTGCTGTTCTAAGGAGCAGCCAGATACCACCTCCCACCACGTCACGGTTAACACACGGCTTCACAAGTTCCCTCGCCATCACTGATGGCCACATTAGCCGAGCCCTCAGACAAGCCCTGGCCATTTCCAAGTTTCCTGCTCTCCCACCAGAGCCACCAAGCCCACAGCAGAACCAACAGAAACAAACATGGTGCTGGCTTTTCAGCTGCTGCTGCACTCATCTCCTGGCACATTGACTTAGCTTAAATCACCACCATTTCAGTTCTGTTTCCTAGGCTGCAAACCACAACAGCTGAAGAGTCAATGCACGTTTGCTTCTGCCAGCTCTGCTATTGAGAAAGTAACCTGTGACTGAAGCAGAGTTTTAAATCACCCAGCATGAATCCTTGATATCCTCTAGAAATATCTCCGTATTGTCAGCACCATTTGTGTATGTGCCCATGGAGGCACTGTAGGTGCGAGAGCATTACCTCTGTTTTATCGGAGTCATCAGTCCCCAGTAATTCGTCATCCTCCTCTCTCCCTGGCTCCTGCAGAGAGCCGTGCTGATTCTTGGGGATCTCAACTGGCTCATCGATGCTTATTGTGGTAGCGTCAGGATTTGCTGCAAGCAAATTAGCTGCATCGTCAAATTCTGCAAGTAAGTACATCACAAGAGAGGCAATGATCAAGCTACCAAAATTTTGGGTTTTGTGGCTCAAAAATCTACATTAAGACTCCTACACAGCCCAAGAAAGGATACATCACTGGCTCAGGCATGTCAAACGCGATCTACATTTCTTAAACTCCAAACTGACAAAGATCAAGCTGAACATTTACTTAGTTGAAGCGCGAGGCTGTCTGTCCTGCTGATCTCCCTCGTGTGATAAACTGGTGTCCTGGATTACCAGGACAGAATTTCAGAGTCAGTTTTCTGTTGAGGAAAACTGATTTAGTAAGGACTGCAACACTCCATTTCATGGGAACATGGGGATAAAACTTTCTTACAGTTTTTTTAGCTAATGCTGGTGTGCAGGTTGCCACGGTGACCAAGGTCTTGAACAGTTTTGAGTTAACCATGTGCAGAAGTTAGGAGGGATGAAAGCCAGGGCTGATGACCCAGGCTGACCAGTAAATAATTACTGAATATCATAAAGGTCACATTCACTATAAATTGGGGAGTTTGCAGGGGACAGTCCCTTCTCTTCCTTCTTGGCTCCTCCATGGCTGACACCTCAAGAGGGACTTGTCTACCACATCCTACCCCTGAGATCCACTCCCCCACAATATTGGCTGAGTATAACTCTGTGTACTTTATATTAGAAATGTTGTTAATATTAATTTTATTATTATTCTTTTATTAATTCTATTTTCAACCCAGGCATTTCCTTTCCTTTTCCTGATCCCCTCTCCCTGTGTGAGGAGGGGTCACTGGGTGATAGAGCAACTGTACAAGACACAACTGGCACCACTGGAACTTGTCTTTCCTTGCAGTGATCCAGGTGTCTGCAAGGGCAGGGAGAGACTGCAGAAATGGGACATTTTAAGCCTCTTAAAAAATTAGGGTTTTTTTTCAGAATTCTGAATTTATTTCTCAACAAATATGCTTAAGTTCAAGTCTGAAACTTGCTGAAACTTCCAAATCACAGATTACTCCACTTGTTTGCATCTTTCAGTTCCCATCACAAAGGATTTCAGCCAACACAGGTAATGGTTTTTATGTCACCGACACCACTCTCATCTCAGACCACTGGAGATATTCCTGGTGCGACTGGCGAGCCTTGAAAGAAGCTGCTGTTCTGAGGAACCCAAAGCACTCAGAAATGCTCCTAGGGCTCTAAACCTCTGACCGCTCCAAATCCCACCTTCACACCTGCCAGACC